TAATCTGACCAACTACAACAGAGGAATTCAACAGATAATTATGTAATTACGTAATCTGACCAACTACAACAGAGGAATTCAACAGATAATTATGTAATTACGTAATCTGACCAACTACAACAGAGGAATTCAATAGATAAATATGTAATTACGTAATCAGACCAACTACAACAGAGGAATTCAACAGACATTCAGACGTTTTAGGCTCTTAACAAATTTACTTTCGTAAATGCGAGCATAATTGTGTGGTTTCCTCACTGGTTATTTTATAAGTTAAGAGTAATGAACATCAAAATCCACCACGTGACCCGTTGAGATGGCTCTAGATGTATCTTCATTTGTAGTTGGTCTGATTACGTACGTACATAATTATCTATTGAATTCCTCTGTTGTAGTTGATCTGATTATGTACTTACATATTTATCTATTGAATTCCTCTGTTGTAGCTTATATAACAAACTTGTTTGTTAAGCCTTTTAAAGTTTTATTACCGAGTTATTGTTCTACGTTCCTACCACACTCGTAGCTGTAGATATAAATACGATGTTCCCCGTATTATCAGATTGTAATATTGTACAATTCCTCTAACCATGAACTTGTATATAAAAAATGTTTTATACGTCAATTTCATATACTTTTAATTGAATACCAGGATGTAATCACGAAAGTTATAAGTACTCAAATTATTGTCATGTCGCTTTATGACAGCTTTTTCTTTTAAAATATTGTAATTAGACTTTTATCAGTTCTTTACAAAAACTCTTGTAAAGCTGAATGTTGAGGTTAAGTAAAACAAAATAATGAGCGTAAATAAATACTACTTTATATTTTATGCTGTTTTACTTAAACGTGTATGAGGGTCCCTAAACGAACACGACATAAACCAGCTAATATTACATACATTTAATACACTGGCAAGGCTTAGAGATGCTGGTTTGCAAAACTAACCACTGTATCTCGCACTCTGTCATATTACAGAAACATACAAGGTAAAACTAGTATCAAACATTTAGTGATCGAGCTGTACAGATTAGCTAATTTGATTCCCTGTCATCGCAAAAACATATTTTGTAAATAACAAAACCGTTTATGACTTTAAACGCTTGAAAATAATAATGTTTAATATTTTTGTAACAAATAAAAAGCATTTCCTTGCAATATCAAACATTGAAAAAAAAAACAACTAACAAAAAACAAACAACGAATCTATCGTCCTAGTAAAACACAAAACCTTGAAAACGTCATATGGTTTGTGAAGAACAAAGAAAAAAAAAAAATAGGGCGAGAAGAGAAAATTAAGTTGACTGAATTCTAAAAAATAAAATTAGAATCTTCAATACTGGAAAAACTTGGTAAACCTGGCTCTGTTGACACGTAAAAGACAAATACTGATGAAAAACGAATACAATGCAGCAATTATGAGGCATAGAGAGACAAGGCTTGGACAATCTTCGGGTCTTGTTTTGATCCTTCCTGGAATTCCTCCAATGACAGTTTGTTATCGTGGTTCTGGAGATGAGGAAAATAAAACTTTTACTCACAAGTTCAAAGATGTACAGTTTGATTTTGGTTAAAAATACAAAAGTCATGTCAAGGTCTAAGATAAAGGAAATAGTTACGAATGGGGCGCCACCTCACAACAAAAACTCTTTGTTTGTTTGAAGTTAAACACAAAGCTAAAGAAAGGGATATCCGAGCTCTACTTATCACGGGTATCGAAACCCGGTTTCTAGCCATGTAAGTCTGCAGACATTCCGCTGTACAAACGAAAGAGAGAAAAAAAAATTCTGGTAAGTTCATTACTTAAATGATACCCATACATCAAAACGGGGATACAAATAATAAGAAATAAAAAGACAATTACACTACAAAAAAGAAAGTACATCCCGATACGGGACACTGGTATATCGGGACATAGTCCTAACACCAAAATACCACAAAAATCAAGGAAACGAATAAAAATACAAACTCAACCAAAACAATTACAAATGGCGTCCCATTACGGTGCTTTTCCAAGATACATGAAATAGGTCCATGAAGTTAAGTATTATTATTTTTTTTTCTCTCGGTAATGGGATTTGAACTTTGAAATCTCAGATTCACAGTCCTCTACGCCAACTAGTAGGCCACGCTCGGCTCACTTATTTTAGAAGTATGTTATACAATAAACGATTTACGGGTTGTGAAAAGAGCGTTTAGAACTATTAGATCATGTAGAAACAGTTATCCAAATCTACAAATTAATTGTATTGGTTATTTGTATATATTCTCCAACTTAACGTTTTTATCTCTATAATGAGTATTCACTATTACAGCATTTAGTCACTCGTTATAAAATTTATGACTGCATTAGAGGTTGCACCTGGCGATTCCATTATTAGAATTTCAAAATTATTTACTTTACAACCAACAGATGGCAGGAGATGATCTAAAATATTGATATTAACAGCAAACAAATAACATTTACTGTGATTAAACATCCGATTAATTACAGATAATAAAGGTGTCGCCAGATGACGAAAGGTCTTTAAGCATCCGAAATTAAAACACAATGAAGTTAGGATGATAAAGAATTTATTTCAAATAACTAGACAAATTTAAATCCCTAGTACAAGAGAAAAAAAAAAAGGTAGACTTTCAAAAAGTTTAGATAATTTCAGTCAAAGATCTACTTTTAACGCCAGACAATAGAACTAAAAAAAAAGGTTTAATCCCTTCCTTGTCATATTATTACTGTATCGGTATCGAAGCGGAAAAGGTATGTTTACTTTGTGTAAAGTTATTAAGCCTAATGAAGTGTTTAAGTCCTTAACAATAACCAGGTGTTCCCACAAGGATAATTAGTTAGTTTAATAAATCAATATTACGTATGAAAAACAAGAAAAGCATCTATTTGTCGATATCACGATTTTTAAATATCCACGAAAAGATGGCAACTACGTTCTCCAAATTTGATGTTTAAAGTCGTTTGTAGAAGAAGAAAAAATCGTATATGTATCAGGCCCGTACGCAGAATGTTTGAAAGGGGGGTTCTAATTTGTGAGATTAAAAGACAATATTTATATTTTGCGAAGCACAATCAGCATGCAATGCTACAGGGATCTGGGGGCATGCCCCACCCAGAAAATTTATAAAAAATAGGTGCTACAAGATGAAATCTGGAAGTAATTTTGCCCGAAATACAGCTTAAACAATTCCATAGCTGTTCACATGAAATCCACAAAAATTCAAAACGTTAAATACCATAAACAGCTGCGCTATAACTATACAAACATAATTTTTTTACATCACGAAAAAACATCCTCCCCTGCATACGTGTGTGTTTGTAATGGTTTCTATCGTTCAGCGGGTTCTCTTTTTGGTTATTCTGTAAAAATAAAAAAAGGTCAAGAACACGTAAGAAAATAAATAAGGCGTTTTATTTCTTCTACCACAAGTTCTGCAAGCACACCGAGAATCGTCTTGACTCAAGTAAAACTAAGCAATCATTGCTAATTTTTCTTCTCATCTCTAGGGCAACACATTCAAACTGGTCCATTAACTCAATAACCGATCGATAACACGTTAACAAACTAATTAATTGATCAACTCACTGACAGATTAATTCGCTATCCAACTCATTGACTGACTCACGATTTTATATAATAGTAACTGTTTTCCCCAAATCTTCTGAAAACTCAAGACGTCATGTCAAATCTAGACACCTAGGAAACGTCTAGGCGTCACACGTCATGCCAAAACTCCCTCTGGGTGCCAGTACAAAACTTCTAAATTAAAATATTAAAATATAGTTAACAATAATATTCACAGCGTAGAGCGATACCCACTGATGAGAGATTAACAATGTCACTCAGGACGACATACAGTAGTAATACTAACAGGCTGAATAGCTCCTTGATCTACTGACCTTAAGATTGATTACACTGATGTAACGACTTTTAACAATTTACTTGTTTGTTACCGGAAGTTGAGTCACGAAGCACGTTGCTGGAAAATTGAAAGTTTACCTTTTGCAATGTCAAAAAATAATTGACCTATTTTAGTCAACTCATATAGAATCTAGTGACACGAGCCAATATATATATATATTTTTTTCTCCATAGTCCTTGCGGACCGTCGAGCCGATGGCAGATCTTGCTCTGTCATCGTTTCTAAAGCTGTTTCTTACGTCAAGGATGCGACCCACTTGACAGCCTTCCCTCTTGGAAAGGAAGAGCATGTTTGGTGGGACTGGGATTCGAACCCACGACCCTCAGATTGCAAGTCGAGCGCCTTAACCACCAGGCCATGTCGGGCCCACGAGCCAATATAGAAATATAAAAACAATTAGAACCAGTTGCGGCGCTACAGGAGTACGGGGAGGGGGGGGGGCGAATTGTTCATCCAAATGTTTTCTCCCCTCCCCCCCAAATTTAATTCTGCATACATAGAACAGATGTAACGTGTATAACAAGAAAGCACGTTCGCACGAGCACTACCATTTTATGGAATGTTTGTTTTTCTTGTATGCTAGAATAAATCCACTTTTAAAGGGACTTATTATTTACTACCCCCCCCCAAAAAAAATTACTAGGTATGCTAGAATGGTCAAAACCTTCTGATCCTTTCCAAGGTCTGCGAGTACTTTGGGGCTTCAGTACTACTTATAACCCAACGTTGGCTCAATGTAGTTTAGTACGGAAAAATGTGGTGGTGGAGATAACGAGTCCCTTTAAAATTACACGTGAATATAAGATGTCTTGTTTCGCCCCCCCTCAAAAAAAAAAATTTTTTGGCGCTGCCACCGAGTACAACCCTTAAGGAATAAGGTAATGCTACTAAAAGTCTTGACACAGACTCACTCGGAGGGGTATAAGACTAAATTTCGAGTGAGCGCATGTGTTTTAGTGGACATTCACCATTACAATTTGTTTATACCGGTCTGAATTCATCATTCTTTATCCCCCTCTGCTTATAACAGAGATCGATAATCCTTTCACGAGAACGTTGGAAACGCCCATTCTTAAGTATTAATAAGACTATCGTATTAACATTAAACCTGCCTTGAGTTGATGGTACAAAACTTATGGTTTCATATGACAGTTTAACAAGTAAATGGGGTGGCTTTTGTCTGTCGGTTGAATATATATATATATAAAGTTAAATGACCTCCCTTTCGAATGAGTGGGCGGATTGGTTCTGAAAACTCCTACGAAAGGAGTTGTAGCAATCTTACAATCGCTTCATACCTATATACAAGTCTTAGTGCACAGTTGAAATAAAACGTTTTAAGTACAGAGAAGTAACCCTCCACTCCTAACCTTATACTTAACTATACATGTATTATAAATTTTGAGTACCAGTCTTTTAGCACACATTTTAAAGCTATGTTTGTTTATTTGAATTTCGCGCAAAATACACGAGGGCTATCTGCGCTAG